TTTACTTTTATCATAAATATCTACAGGGTAAGTTATTGGTATTTCGCAAAGGTCTCTTACGCAGTAATAAAAACGTGATTATTGTGATCAATGATATTTTGTCCAAAAAAATTGCATACAAACAAGTATAGAATATCAACAAATATAAATCCAAGAGAAAAGATAGCCTCCTCAAGAATTTTTCCAGACAACGTAATCTGAGAGATCTACAAAATATAAGATCACAATCAATGTTCTACATTTTACAACAGTTCTCATTTTATTGTTTTATGGTCTTGTTCCTTTAACAAGAGTAAAAATCTATATATGCAAAATTATTGTTGAATATTGATTAATGAAAAATTGTAATAAAAGTTTAGTGTAAATTCGCTGTTAGCACAAATGGAAAATATTCATTGTTCGTTCAAAATTAAGTTTAAAAATGAAATGCGAACTTACCCGAAGAAAATTGAAACACAAAGAAGTGATAAAGACAGCTGTTAAACTGAGAAACATTATCTCAAATTTGGTTATCAAATATTTGGATAATCTTTAAAAACATAAAAATGTTACTACATATATTACATGCGTATATTTTTATATAGACGCTAACCTCATTGCTTCCCGATGAATATCAACAGCGTACATTAAACTCTTAGAATTTGAAATTTTGTTCTTTAGGGTAACAGTTTGCAGAATACTAATCTTTACTGCGCGTTCAATACGATAACTATAAATAATCATATGATTTTTTAATAGGATATTTCTTTGAGAGACAAATTTTACCTATACATTCGTCCAATAGTAACAGTTTTTTTCAACATTCGAATGTTTGTAGCCATTTTATAACTTATTTCGTACCAGGAAATTTTAAACATTCCAAAAATAAATTGAATACATCCAATGAGCATTGTTCCTGTTGCTATTGTTGCAATCAATCCTATACAAAACGCTGCGTTTACGTGTAATAGAATTAAGAAAATATATGTTTCTTGATCAACAAAGTATTCCATTACGAGTATACCATGTGGCTGCGATATATTTACTGATGAAGTAACATTAAATATATTCGTCCAACATTGAAGGATAAAAATACCAGATATTCCACAAATCCCAGATGCTAAAAAACACAAGATTTATTAAGTTCTAATCAAATTCTGCCTAATTACGCAAAATAAACTCGGTATCTCAGATCATATTATAATAGAGGATTCTCCTCTATAACTGACAATTAATTTACTATTTCATTTGTCTTAAAAAAAAAAGTTGCTATTAATTACTATAAATGTAACAAATATTAAATATGAACTCTTTAAACTACACATACATACTTATGCATATATGCATATATAAAAATTAAGGAAACAGTTAATTATAATTTTGTAATATATTGTAATTTTGAAAACCCGATTTTTTTCACTAGTATTTTAATAGTAAAGATGAATGTTGAAAAGAAAAAATGTAATCGCATGAAAAACTTTTACTTTACCCGTAAATATAACTGTGTAACGTTTTGCTTCGTAGCCATATTTGTTTATGATTGTTATTTCTTTTTCATCCTTTAATTCGTCGTATATTTGTTGAAGTTGCATTAGTAAATTTTTTACCTATTCCAGCAATATTTTTATATTGTCTTTGTATATCAAAATATAATTTTATTTGAGTATAAATATTTATTGGCCGGTAAAGACTTTATTCTATGGGTTTGCTGTATATTTGAAACTTACACTTTTGATGTTAACACTAAAAAAGTTGTAATTTATCAAGTGGACAGTAAAGAAAGATGCGGAAGACACAACCTTAATAACGAGATCAGAAGTATATCTTGACGTAATAAATGATGTTAGCTGCAAACAGTAATTTTACTTAATTTCATTTATAAGGGTATAACTCTAAAACTCAACATTATTTTGACTTTAAGTAAAGTTTAAAATTCTCTTTCATTTTCTCTCTCTTTTAAAGAAAGACAGACAGAGTTTTAAGCTTAAAAACAGAATAACGTTGGTGCAACCGAGCTTTAATAATTATATATATAATTAAACATATTAATATAAAATCTAGCATAGTTTAAGTTGAGAGTTATATTTTTAATTGGTTGAAAATACAATGCTATTATACTATGTATTTCCTTACCTGAAATATAATACCTGTTGTCAAAATACTAGAAAGGAAAATAAACTGAAATCTAGTTAACATAGATTGTTGATAGGGCCACAAACCAATAGCTAGCAATAGGATTCTATTGAGATTGAAATACTGAACTTCCAGACGGATCATCTCCCTCTATGCTCCAGAACATTACTGCGAGCATTACGACGATGGTGCGCTCATCCCCACCTTTCTCCACTGGTCACGATTAAATATATTTCATATCTTCTTTTTTTTACGTAAATTTCAACGCAAATTTTCCTAATTGACTATAATGCACAGTTGTGCAAGCCGGTCGTGAGATCGGAATATTGAAGTTAACAAATTTCTCAGGGAGAGCTGCGTACCATTATTCTTTATAACATAATTTATGTCAATTGTCGCTGTAAGTAATACGACAGATGTATCTTTCCCATTGAGCTATATATCCAGAAAAGCTACGCAGGCGCATTTCCTCCTTTTCAGTTCCGAAACTTCATTCTAGTACGCGCACTTGTAAGATACACTTGGTCTTCGAGAGGAAAGAGTCTTAATCTCCATGATGCCTACCTGGTAAAATTCTCATTTAAAATAAATAATTGCTTGAAACAGGTGATATATGACACTTTTAAATTTTAATGTGCGATCAGCGACTAATGTAATTAATGTAATTATCAAATTGATGTAATGACGTATCTAATTAATAATATTGTTTAGTAATCATATTCTTTTTTGTTTTTTTTTGTATTATTAACTATCACAAGTTTTTAAATTTAAATTTAAATATTTTAATTATTATATTATTTGGGAAAAATGTACAACGATTGCAAATTGCAAGTAAAAAATTGTACTTAAATGCAACGTGAAACAATTAAAAAACTATATGATTGCTTAATAACTATATGATTGTTTGAAAAATATGTCATATATACAGGGTGATCCAGGTCACTCGGAGGAGCCATCATCTACGTATTCCTCGTGAAAAACAGAGTCGAAAATGTTCATATCAAAATGTTGACATGTCAATGGTTTGTGAGTGGTGAGCTGTTGAAACTGTTCACAGGCATTAAGAGCACACCGTCAGGTGCGGAAATGCGCATATCTCTTCTTTTTCGATACAACTTCATTCGTGTAAACGCTTTCATGAGATTTGGTTAGGTCTTTGAGATGAATACTCTCCAACTTCTTTGACATCGATCATAATTGATACCAACTCATATCAATTTAAAACATGGTGATTAAATCAGTAACATCTTCAATATGACGTTTTATACATAATTGCAAAATTATGTATAAAACGTCAATTATTATAATATTAATATTATCTATTAAATATTAACATCATAGATATTTTTAAATTGATAAATTGCCGTGAACGACAATTGAATAAATATTAAATAAATGTCATTCACATGTCACTTATCATATTGTTATATTATTTATTAGATAAATTCTCCATTTTTCGTTTCTCCATTTATACCTTTAATTTTTCTAACACATCTTTATTTAATACTGAAATATATATTCATACATATTTACGTACACATATTAAAATATATGATATTAACAATAATTTGTACGAAAATATTTAATTACTTATCAGGGTAGAGTAATTCCGATATTTATGACGCGCAAGAATTTATGCAGAGAAGTCAGAGAAAAATAAAAGGAGTAAAGATAATTGGCACGCAATACCACTCTGTTATACATCTTTATATTATATTGTATTGTGTTGCGATTTCAGTTTTTTATTGTTAATATTAACAAAAATCATTGTGAATTGAAGCAATTTCTCAATGTAGTAAGTAGCACAACCATGTATTATAACTTACGTAAAATGAATACTGTAGAGTATGTGCGAAAGGTTGTTTCGTGATATATAAATGTACGAGGGATAGTAAAGGATGGCGTATAGCAAAATATAAATATTAATTCTTGTACTTTTTGTTTAACTTTGCATATCTCTACTATATCTTACTTGTTTAGTCTACGGCATTTTTAACACGCGGAATTTATGCCGCCTATTAATGTTACCAATTTTGCGCTTACACGTAGCAAACAAAGTGCACCTACCATGTGAATGTATTAACTTTTTTATTAATTTTATATATTATATATAATATTTGATATAACAAACAAATGCAAGATATTATTATCTCATAATATATATTTATATTTACTATTCATATTTTCTAATAAAATTTTGTAAACACATTTTATAACTTATTATGTCATATTACTATATTTATTAGCGTTATATGTAAACTTTTATGATTCGTATACCTAGTACTCCATCTATGAGTAGCCGTATATCCCACTCTAGTATATGTATGTTGTGAAAATGCAAGGGTTTTCAAAAGTTTCTTTTCCAAATGTAACGAATAAATATTTCGACCTTTAATTTTTAATTTTTCTTATAGTAATATGACTAATAAGCTATATGAAAATTTTATTAGTACAGTTTATTTATCTTAAATATACTAAATACTACTTGATAAATTAAGATTTTGATAAGTGCCGCGTATATATACATATACCGGAATTACCCTAATGTTTAACTCGTATAGCAATTACGCGTATTGATATTAAATATATAGGAATAAATTATCAGTATTTGAACCAATATAATAAAATAATTAAATCTATTGTTAATATTTGATGTACAGTATATATCTACAATATTCTTCCCAATGCATTTGTAAAGATTTGACATTTTAGTATGTTAGACTAAATTTTCGATTCTGTGATTTTTGAATAATAAAACATAAAATAAAATAACATTAAACAGTTAAAAATATAATTTTCTATTCTAAATGTGAGAAATGCCGTTTGATCTTTAAATATATTATTTAAATATATATTTTCTTATTTTTACTTGATTCGTATTTATCTAATTATTGTGTAGATAGTACAACGGTAAAATAAGATACCGAAGCTTTCACCAACTGCAAAAATATTGTTAATGTGTTTCCTTTTAATATACTACTTTATACTACTGTATTCAAGAAAATGGTCTTACCGTGGCAAAGGTCTCGAATGATGGAACAAATAATCCACCATACATATTCAGAGCGTAACTTTTGGCGCCTTTTAACAACAGGAAAAGTATCATTTTCTGGATATGTAAAGGAGTTAGATACCATTCAACTCTGTACCTACGAAACACAATTAATTATAAACACAAAAGTTAATTTGAAGGAAAATCAGGAAAGATTTACAAATAATTTTTAATATTGTACGTTAATTACGCTGGATGTACTAATGACGTTAATATAAATGTATAAATGTATAAATGTATAAATTATTTTGATTCAAAAATATGTAAAGTGAATCTTCTTGTTATTATATTTCGTGAGAAAGTTCCTTACACAGTAGCAAATACATAACTATTGTGGTCCGTCATTGTTTGCCCAATAGAATTTGATAAAAACAGATATAGAATTTCAACAGTTACAAATATTATGGGCATTAAAGCTTCTTTAGTAGCTTTTTCGGATGACACAATCAGAAAAATCTGAAATACGAATCTTAACTGTAATCAAATTTTTACATCCTAATAGTCCTATTATTTACTATACGTTTTTATTTCTTTTAAACAGCAAGAATCAGAACTGATTTATATGAAATTGCTATGTAAATTTGATTAATATGAAGTATCAATAACAGTACTTTCTCTACAGTATTTATAAAATTTTTCTAGTATATCTTATGGAATATCTAATGCTTATTCAAAAATAAATATAAGGATAAGATCTGAAACTTACTCGAACTAAATGGAAACACAATGACACTACCAGCAGCTGTGTTAGACAGACGAACATTATCTCAAAATGGGTTATCAAACGTGTGGATAATCTTAAAAAATAAGGAATTGTTACTGCATATGCTACACAATCTACTTACAATTATATGAATACTAACTTCACAGTTTGCCGATGAGTATTGATCGCGTAAATTAAACCTCGGATTGTCTCGAATTTTAAAATTTTGTTTGTCGAAGTAATATTTTGCAGAATGTTGATCTGTATTGCTCGTTCAATACGATAACTGTGAATAATGTAATTTTCTTAAATAAGGTATTTCTTTTGCAAGGTAAATTCAAATTCGTTCAACACAGCAATGTAGCTTTATTCACAATTTAAATTTTTGTGATCTGTTTTGTGTTTATTTTGTACCTGGAGATTTTAAACATTCCACAGAGAAATTTATAATATGCAATAAACAGTGATCCTGTTCCTATCGTTGCAATTGCTCCTATAAATGTAGCTGTGTTTATATGCAATAGAATTAAAAAGAAATATTTTTCCTGATCAACAAAATATTCTGCATTATATATTACGTATTGCATGTGACGTGATCGAGATACATTCGTCGATAGGACACTATCAGATATATTCCAAGATTGAACAATAATCGCACCAATCATTGCACAAATACCTATTACTAAAAAATATTGGAAAATAATTTAAGAACAATATAGATGTACACATGTATTTAAAATTTTCTATTATATAAAATTATTTCATATATAGCACATATAATGCTTTAAAATAATTTTACATATAGCGTATCTGTAACATACATTATAATGTAATTTAATTATAAATTGCGTTATAAATTACATTATAAAGTACATTATAAATTATACATTACATTATAAATTAGTTTAATTATCATTAATTTCTATTGCGCAATTGATAGCTATTCGTAATTTTATTTGATGAATATGTTTACTTCATATATTATTATCGCACAAATAGCATTAGAAGTACATATGCAACAAATAAACACAAATCGTATACCATATATGCAAAAGTATACAATGTGTGCAAAAATTTATTGAAATCTGTCAGAGTCGATTTTTAAATTGAAATTTGAAGTTTATATGTTACATGTTAAATAAGAAAATGTAATCGCATGTATAAATGTAAAGATATTATCTTACCTATAAGTGCAACTGTATAACATTTTGCAAGATAGCCATATTTTTCTATAATAGCGATTTCATTTTTATCTTTTAATTTATTACATATATGCTGAAGTCTGATGAATAATTTTTTCACCTGTTATTTCAGTAACTTTATGTGCCTCCTTTGTATATAGTAATATTAGGAAATGTTCTTTAATATAAGAATTTAAAATATAAAATCCCGTAAGCTATTAACTTACAGCTTCAATTTTAATGCCAAATGTATAATAATTTATCATTAAAATAAGAGAGAAAGTTGTGGAAGATACAACTGTAGTAATAAAATCCGAAGTAATTTTTGTTGTCATAAATGTTGTTAACTACAATTATACGTATTTTTAACTATTGTAATATAATTATATATTGCATACAATTATAAATAATTATATTAGATAATATTAGATAATATAATAGATTGTGATGTAAATCATTTATTAGTAAAAAATTGTTATGCATTAATTAATTCATTATGCAACTATACTATTCCTCTTACCTGAGATATAAAACTGGTCATTAAAATAATAGAAAAGAAAATAAATTGAAATCGAGTAAACTTGGATTGTTGATATGGCCACACACCAATAGCAAGCAATAAAACTCTATTGAGACTTAAATACTGAGTCTCTATACAGATCATCACTTGGCTAAGTCCAGAACAAGAATGATAGTGAAGAAATCGAAGTGCGCTCATCCTCTCCTTTTTTTCACTCAATTAAATATTTTCCATATTTTCTTTCTTATACGTAAATTTCAACGCAAATTTTTCTAATTGATTATAATACACTGCAGTTGTGCAAGTCGGTCGTGAAATTGAAATACATTAAAGTCAGCAAATTTCTCAGAGAGAGAGTTGTGTACCGTTATTCTTTATAACATAATTTATATCAATTGTCACTGTAAGTAATACGACAGATGTGTCTTTCCCATTGAGCTATATCCAGAAATGCTACGCAGGCGCATTTCTTCCTTTTCAGTTCCGAAACTTCATTCTAGTACGCATACTCGTAAGACACACTTGACCTTCGAGAGAAATTGTTTTAATTTCCTTGATGCCTACCTGGTAAAATTCTCATAATTTAAAAATAATTACATGAAATAGATGATATATGACACTTAAATATATTAATTTGCGATCAGCGATTAATCTTTTTACTTAAATTGACGTAATGACTATAATGACGTATCTAATTAATAATATTGTTTACTAGTAATTATACTCTCTTTTGTCTTTTTTTTATTTTTTGTATTATTAATTAACACAAGTTTTACAATTTAAATATTTTAATTATTATATTATTTACGAAAAATGTGCAACAATAGCAAATTGCAGGAAAAAAATTATACTTATTGAACTTAAATAATTGAAATAATTAAAAACTGTGAGTGTTTATACTTGAAAAATATATCATATACAATATTCAATTTGAATACATTGCGACGATCTGATGTATCTGATGTAACATCTTTATTTGAATAATTTTAATTTATTACATTTTTTTAACAGCAAAATCTCTAGTTAAACTACATGCTTAAAAAATTAATCTCTTTATTCCAAACACGAGTTCTATTGTTTCTTCATTGACTATATCCTTATTATGTTATTATTAAATTCATATTTGTTTCGTCACCGCGTAGAATATATGACAGTAAAATAAGACACCGAAGTCTTTACTAACTGTAATTAAAAACGGTTTTATATATATATATATATATATATATATATATATATATGTATATATACATATATACGTTTGTAATGTGATATTGTTAGTATTATCACTAATATCTCACCATGGCAAAACACTCTATGGATGCATCAAACAATCCACAGACATTCAGAGTAAACTTCTTGGTTTCTCTTTGTAATAGAAACAATATCATTCTTTGTATATGTAATGGGGCTCTATACCACTGAACGTTGTACCTATGAAATTGTTACACAGATAACAAATCATTAAAATTGAAAAAAGGAGTTTTTTTTAATAATTATTTTTAGTGTGAATTATTTTTCCATATATCGACTTTTCTGCAACTACATTAACTTCTACAACATTTGAACAATTTTTAAAAATGAGTTTTTATATACTTTATCTCATAGAATGATTCTTACGCAGTAAAAAATATATCACTATTGTGGTCTATTATATTCTGCCCGACATTGTTGGCTATAAACATATATAAAATACTGACAAACACAAATAACAATGGCATTAAAAATTCCACGAAATTATTTTTAGATGAAACAATCTGAAAAATCTAAAATACAAATTTCATAGAGATTATGAATTTTTTTACATATATATTTTTGACTATCAATCTATAAACAATACGTACATAAATTTTTTTTATAAAAGAATTAATAATATATAGAACTGAAAAATTGCATTTCAGTATGCAAGTGCTTATACTATTTTGATTAATCAAAAATTGCAACAGACGTACATCCTTCTTAAAATATGAATATGAAGTTTGTTTAAAAAATAAATGAACTATATAGATTAACTATATTAGACAACAAAATAGTAGATTAACAACATCGTTTAAGTTTTAACGGTATTAGTAAACTTAGTATCCATAAACCTGTTAATGTAATATATATTTTTTCAGTATTACTAAATTTTATAATGCAATATGCTTCTCTACTCTTTATTTTTATTCCTATAATATGTATAATTGTCTAACATAAGACTCTGGATTTATCACTTTTATATTATTTATAATTGATGTTATTAGCAATTTATAACTCTGGCATATTCATAATTTGATTTTAATTTGATTTTTATCGTATTTAACAGAGTAACTATTAATACACATAATTTCGGAGCAATTTTCATATATGTTATAACACGAAATAGAAAACTTACTTGAAACAGATTTAGGGTTAAGCAAGCCACGCCACATACTATTAAGCAAAGCATCATTATCTCGATTATGGACATCAAATGTTTGGCCAATCTTTAAAAAGAAAAAATATAACTAAACATATTACATATATACTGTGGACGTGATTACAAACTTCATAGCTTGTCGGTGAATATCGACGGCACAAATTATTCCCTCAGTCATCAGGATCTTATTTTTCAGCGTAATATTTTGTCGAATATTGATATTTATTGCATGCTCGATACGATAACTGTAAATGTTTGTGTTGTAATTATATAGTGAATGACATAATTTTTTAGCTGAAAGTATACTTTTTCACAAATTTTTCTTAATACATTTATATTGTTGAAAGATAAACTTTAATTATGTTAATTATAGTTTAAATTATCATTCCTTCTTTGTTCATACCAAGCAATTCTAAACATTCCACAGATATGGTGAAAACACGCAATGAGCATTGTTCCTATTGCTAATAGCGCAGTTGTCCCGATGCAAGTAATTGCGATGACATGCAACAGAATTAAGTAAAAATATTTTTCTTGATCGATAAAATACTCCATCATAATTGATATACGAGATACATTTTTTGGTAAAACGATATGAATAGTTGAGCAATTTTGGACGATGATCAGGACACATCCGATAACGGCAAATACTAAAAAATATTAAAAAGCATTTATAGTTAAAATTTCTTTTGTACAAACTTACCAAAATCTACATTGTTTAGTAGACATAGATCTAAAATATTATTTTGTCAACTTATTTATAATTAATTTCTGTCATTTCTATAGTAATGCAATTTGTACAATATGTTACTAATATGTTATTAATTATTGCATGTTTACTGAAAATAAATGGTTCAGTATATAGATGTAATATATCATACGTTAAAGTAAAAAGGAAAAATATTATATGTCAAAACTAATTTTAAAGTTTTCGTAGCTTACACTTTGAATAATAATTGTAAGCCTAGATCTGAGAATATTGCTTTACTTGTAAGTATAAACGTATAACGTCTTGCAGCGTAACTATGTTCTTCTATGATAGCAATTTCGTTTTTATCTTTTACTTGATTGTATATATTCTTAAGTTGCATTAATAACTCCTTTACCTGTTATACCAATAATTTTATATATTGTTTTTATACATAACAATATATAATAACATTTTTTTAATATATATATAATAAACATTTATTTGAAGATTATGCCGTCAAATGCATAATTATTACATATCAACTTACAGCTTCAATGTTGATGAAGAAGAAATTATATTTTATGAAAGTAAGAATAAAGTAAGATGCGGAAGACAGAATCTTAATGAGATTTGAGGCACAATATTTTGATGTTATTAGCGTTGTCAACTAATAGTAGTAATATTATTTATAATTATGCTTATATAAACAAAATTACAATAATATTTATATTATTATATAATCTATATTATACATATGTAATATAGATTGGGGTAACAATTTGCGAAACGATAATTTATTATATAATGTATTATATATACATATTATATTAATTTATTATATAATTTTATTATTACATTCTATTCTTACCTGAAATATAATACCCGCTGTCAGAATAGTAGAAAGGAAAATAAATTGAAATCGTGTAAGTTTAGATTGTTGATAGGGCCACAAACCGATAATGAGCAATAGAATTCTATTGAGACTAAAATATTGAATCTCTAGCTGAATCATTTCTCTGCGACGTCCGGAATACGACTGGTTACGAAGAAGTCGACTAGTACAATTATCCCTCCTTTTTTCCATCGATCCCCTAGACATTCTCGCTTATAATGTAAATTTTTATTGTGAATGCCATAATTTGTATAATGCTAGGCTATACGAATATCATTGTGAGATCAGAAATTCATTCATATTTCAATAGCATTTCTTACGAGAACTACGATTAGGGCATCGATCCAACATAAAGGAAATTTCAAACAAATATCTTTTCTTATTAGAAAAAAAAGAAAGACATTTATGAGAGAATAAAAGTCACGCAAGCGCATATCTTTTCTTTTTCGGTATAACTATATTTATTCGCGTATATACTCACGAGATATGTTTGGCCTTTGAGATCGAGTACTTTCCAACTTCTTTGACATCAATCATAATTGATACCAGAGACTCATGACAATTTAAAACATGGTGATTAAATCAATAACATTTTCAACGTTTTATACATAATTGTAAAATATTATTATAATATTAATATTATTATTAAATATTATTATCATAGATGTTTTTATATTGATAAACTCAGTGAACGACAATTGAACTAATATTAAATAAATATCATTTATCACTTATTAAATTGTTATATTTTTTTTTATTAGATAGATTCTCCATTTTTTATATACCTTTAATTTTCCTAACACATATTTATTTAATACTGAAATATATATTCACACTTATTTACGTAGACATATTAAAATATATTAACATTAAAAACGTGTTAAAATATTAAACTACTTATCAGAGTACGTTAGGCTGAATATTTCTAATTCCGTGATTTTTTATTAATAAAACGTTAAATAAAATTACATAGTCAAAAATAGGATTTTCTATCTTTTAAATGTGATAAATACCTTATTACTCTTTAAATATATATTCTTATCTTCTTTAAATATATATTTTCTTATTTTTATTTTATATTTATTTCATCATTGTGTAGATAGTATAAAGGTAAAATAGGATACCGAAGCTTTCACCAACTGCAAGAATATTATTATTTTGTTTTAATACAATACTTTATATATTCAAGAAAAAACTACATCTTACCGTGGCAAAGCACTCTAATGATGTAGTAAACAATCCACCGATATTTAAAGTATAATTTTTAGCGCCTTTTAATAATAGGAAGAGTAACATTTTCTGGATATGTAAAGGAGTTACATACCACTCAACTCTATATCTACGAAAATTATAAAGACTGAAATTGATTTGAAGGAAAATTAGGAAGATTTACAAATAATTGTTATCATTGTACGTTAATTACACTAGACTAATGACATTAAATTGTTTGGCTACAAAGATCTGTAAAGTGATCTTCTTGTTAACGTATTTTATGAGAAAATCCCTTACACAGTAGCAAATACAAAATTATTGTAATCTGTCATATTCTGTCCCATAAAATTCGATAGAAACATATATATGATTTGAACACCTGCAAATAGCGTGGGTGTTATAACTTCTTTAATAACAGCCTCCTCGGACAACAGAATTTGAAAAATCTGAAATACGAATCTCACAACTGTAATTAGATTTTTACATCCTAATAGCTATTCTTTACAGTTGTATTATTTTATAATACGTTTTTATTTCTTTTATGCAGCAAAAATCAGGGCTGATTTATATGAAAATTACTACGCAAATTTGATTAGTGTGAAGTATCAATAGCAGCACTTTCTCTACAGTATATCTTATATAAAATTTCTTTAGTATATATTATGTAATATCTAATGCTTGGTCGGAAATAAAAGTTACGATAAGATCTGAAACTTACTCGAACAAAGTTGAAACATATTGAAACTACGAACATCTGTGCTAAAAAGAAGAACAGCATCTCAAAATCGGCCATCAAACATGTGATTAATCTTAAAAAATAAGAAATTGTTACTGTTATATTATACACTCCGCATAAATATTATATGAATACTAACTCTATGGCTTGCCGATGGATATCGATGGCGCAAATTAAATCCTCGGATTTGAAAATTTTGTTTGTCGAGGTATTATTTTGTAGAATGTTGATCCTTATTGCGCGTTCAATACGATAACTGTAAATAATGTGATTTTTTAAATAAGTTATTTCTTGTTTTTGCAAGGTACATAAGTTCAAATTCGTTCCACACAGCAATGTAGATTCATTACAATTTGAATTTTTGTTATTATTTTGTGCTTATTTTTGTACCTGGAGATCTTTAACATTCCACAAATAAATTTAAAAGATGCAATAATCATTGTTCCTGTTGCTACAAATGCAGTTGCACCTATAATTAATGCTGCGTTTATATGCAGTAGAATTAAAAAGAAATATTTTTCCTGATCAACAAAATATTCTGTTAAGTATTGCATACGGCGTGGTTGAGATACGTTCGTTGATGGAACAACGTCAGACATAATCCAAAATTGAGATGCAATCAGACCAAACATTGCAAAAATAGCCAATACTAAAAGATGTTAAAAAATCATTTTAAAAATATATAATTAAAAATTTCTATTATGTAAAATTATTTTTATATAGCACATATAATTTTATAATTACTTATTCTGTATAGCATATCTATCTTGTGTTACAAATTTGTAAAATTTTTTAGATTAACTGTTATTAATCTGTATTGCGCAATTAATAGTCATTTTAATTTTATTTGACTATGAAATATGTTTACTACTATGCATATAATTTCACAAATACATCAAACGTACGCGTGTGCGACAAATGGACTCAAATGGTATACTATAGGGGAGACCGGGGCTGGTTGATACAGTTTTTTTTATGTCCGTATATATTCCACATGTAACTAATAAATGAAATAAATACCGCAAAGATATTTTTCAATAGTCACATGCTTCAACAACATAGAAATTATTTTAAAAATTTAATAATTTAATAATTTAAAAATATAATTAATTTTGTTGTATTAATAGAAAATGTAAAGTGATGCAACTTGTAACAACCGGCCCCATATGCTAGGTCAATTGTTACAATTACTGGAATCAGTTACACATTCAGATTTTAAAATATAACGTATTTAATTGAAGAAAATTAAAATAATTGTGCATAACATAACTTTATTTATAATTTTCAAATAAAATATACACATTAATGTAACATTAATGATATAAACATAA